CTGTGCAACAAGTAGCCTAGTATGCAGAGTTTCGGTTCATTTTTGTGCTGCGTGAGAGGAAACAAACTACAGAAAGCTGCATCCTATTTTTCTATATGCTTATTTTACAAAAGCACAAAGATTTGTTTTTATTGTGCATGTACACAAATAAAGGCAAACCTTTTACCATTCCAATTATCTTTAGGACTAAAAGGAGTAGTTGCTTCCACTGTTAGAAAAAAAAAAACTCAAATGATTGCGCCGGTGCCGCATGCGCACACACAGTTAAGCATTGCTACTAGAGCCTGACCGATATATCGTTTAGCCGATATTATCGGCCGATATGAGCCTGTCGCATATACATCGGTATCGCCGAATATGTCGCCGATATGAATTTGTTTTTTTACAGAAAATATAACGTAGAAAAAAAAAAACTCAAATGATTGCGCCGGTGCCGCATGCGCACACACAGTTAAGCATTGCTACTAGAGCCTGACCGATATATCGTTTAGCCGATATTATCGGCCGATATGAGCCTGTCGCATATACATCGGTATCGCCGAATATGTCGCCGATATGAATTTGTTTTTTTACAGAAAATATAACGAAGATAAAATGCTTGAAATGGTGTAATTACTTAGTTTGTCCAGCAGAGCGTGCTCCATTGTTTGCTACTGGCGACCTGGATGAAACACTTTAAAGCTTAAGTCTATGGAAAACCACTGAAACTTTGAACGGCCATATCTCCGTAAAGAAGTGGCGAATCCGCACCAGATTCGAGTGTACGTCTCGAGGCCCTCTTTCGAATGAGAACACCCCCGCGTCGATAGCCCCCGGGGTTCGGGAGTTACGGGTGGTTAAATACGCGGTCCGGCGCTGACCGGTCTAGCGATCCCGGGGGGCTACCGATGCGCAGAGGGTGGCGTTCGAGAGGGTTCATCGAGCTGAAGGGATCCCCCGAATTTGGTGGTATCCGCGTTCGCAAGATAGTGACACCAGCCAACACTTTCACTTCAGTAAGGAGGTCTCTTGTTCAGGCAGCAGCATTCAAGCGCTGTCTTATTGTAAGTGCCCTGCGAAGTGGACTTCACATGATATTCCGCCATGATTCCAGTTCCAAGGGAACATACTGTACTATAATATATACAAAGAATATCGGCCGATATATCAATATTGGCCTTTTTTTACTCCCTAATATCGGTATCAGTATCAGCCCCCAAAAAAAACAGATCGGTCGGGCTCTAATTGCTACCTTGACAATGCAGCCTGTTCATTATCATTATAAAATACAGTTAGTCAAACATACGGGAAAAAAAATATGTAGTAAAAAAAATATGCAGTAAAATCTGTGCTGTTAAGTGTTATCACCGCACCGCCGTGATGTTATGCAAAACATTTTGTTTTATGTGGATATTGGAACACGAGTGAAGTAGGCTACATAATAAATAATAATTTGCCATTCAAATACATCACGAATACGGAAACATTTGATTTTGTGTGGAATGAGAGACCCAACGTTGGTTTCAATTTCGTTTTAGCCTAAATTCATTTGTTTTGGCTTGTTGTTTATATTGCTATAGCTTCTAATATTTTTAATTCTTGTTCTTTTTTTAAATACTGTTAATTGAAAGGATTTGTTGTGGAGTGAGGGGAACTAAAATAGCCTAGCTATGTTTACAGTGTTTATTATAATGTTTGTAAACATTTCGCGTCGGCATTAGGCCTAGCTAGTTCTGAATGAAACAATAAAATGCGACTTATACATTTTTTTTATACGCATAGCGTATTTTAACCATGCAGCAAACCTTTTTAAATATTTTTATAAATTACTGAAAAAATAAATAATTAAATGACCTTTTAAACCGTTTAACTGATTGTATTAATCGGTCAAAATTCTTACGGTTAAAATGAACATCCCTACCTCATACACTGCTGGATTACCAGTTTGAATCATTCTAACAAATTCAGTGAATTTGTCAGAGCAAGCACTGAATAAAGTTAATTAAAGTCTAAACCCTCAATGGTCCACATTATGACAATGAATAAAAAAAATTAAACTATAAAACTGTTACATCCAATTTTTTGAATGAATATATCAATTTTAAAAACTACCAGTCAATTAATCAGAAATGGGCCTTTTTTCTTCCCCACTTTAGTTATTTGTTTCAGACTATGTTGGTTTCTTGGTAATGTCAAACAGGCGTAAAACCCCTAGAGATTACCTGTCATAGCAGTTGACATCATCAAGCCAGCAGCCTTGCTTTACTATTTCAACCAATCCTGACACATTTCGCCAAGTTGCGAAGCAATGAAGCCTCTTGTCCTTCTCTCCCAAGCAAGACTCAATACCGCTGCGATTTCCTCGGTTCTCTGAGCTGGGGTTGTAGTTGTAGAACACACACTCTTGTGTCTCTGATCGGCCGAGAATGGCACCTGGAAAAGAAAACCACAGAGGAGGCCGGTTAAGACATGGACTGCCTGCAGTGAGAGAGGAGACCTGCTTCATTGATCACTCACAAGACTTTACACTCAACCCAAAGTATAAAGCACAAACCACAACCAGCAGTCACAGATTGGCAGCTGAATATCAATCGAAAATGATAGATATTGTAGGTTTATAACCGATATAAAAGTGGTTTAATATAACCCAAAAAAGTGAGATCCACAGATGGGACTTCATATTGTTTGCAGAAGCAAATTCACAGGCAACCATATGGCTTAAAAAAAAAAAACACTAGCAAGAGTTGTGGTTAACCAAAACAACAACCGTAAAGTAGTGAGCATGATTAACACAGAAGGGTTCTAAAACAGGATGTGGTGGAGGGCGGTTTCCCAACTTCTTCCTGAAACAACCGCAACTCCGATCATGTTTGAGTATGGCACTGAAGTAATGTGATGAGTGTTGTGAAATTATGCAAAACACACACCGTGTCAACACCATCACTGAAGAGACAAGACAAAAAAAAAAAAAAGTCATGAACAAAACAAACAGCAAATAGTGGAATCAGATTTTTACTTCACAAGTTGCTTAGCTTGCTCAAAGACACTAGGAATCTTGTGCAGGTTGAGCAGACTTAGTCTCCATCTGAACGTTTACAAAAGATGCGCTCTTGCGCGCCAAAACATTTTGACGGAGCGTAACAGAATAGAACGGAAAGTCAAGAGTTAGAAACACTAGTTTGGCGGCAATCTTGCATCTATGGGAACCTCTGTGATCCAGACATTTTGCAACGCTTGATCTTATGTTTGGTTTGCTTTGGGCCAGGTATTTGAGGACTGGTTGCACAGGTTTAATGGCGGCACCATGCTAGGTACCGTTGAATGGAACAGAAAACAATACACATACACTGCAATAAAGCAATTACAGGAACATTCTTCACATGTCACAAACGGCACTTTTGTATGCTCCAAAAATTCTTAAGCCACTTCCTTCAAGAAAAACAAATAAGTGTGTGCATTCCAAGACCACATATACGGCATCTTCAGTCCAAAAATGTCATTGCACATCATTGTTTTTATTACCACAATGACAACAGAAATGGCTCATTAACACCTAATGTTCGCGTGCATGCATGTGCGCATAGCACAAACCAATGCTTCCATCATCACCATTTAGGAGTGGCACAGTGAAACAAACAAACTAAATATTACATAAAATAAAACACACACTACTGTTAAAAAGCTTGAGGTAAAGTTTTACTTTTTGAAAGAAATTAACACATTTATTCAGGAAGGATGCATTACATTGACCATAAGAGACAGTAAACATATTTATAATGTTACAAAAGGTTGTTATTTCAAATAAATACTGATAGTTTATGTAGTTTATGCAACTATAATTTTATGTAATTTTGTATCATGGTTTTCACAAAAATATTAGGCAGCACAACTGTTTTCAACATTGCTAATAATGAGAAATGAGCACAGAATCAGCATATTAGAATTAGGGTTGTGACGGTGAGGACAAACTCAATCTTTGACTCAATGTCCATCTCGGCCTCGGAGAGGGAGGATTGGGCGGGATCGGAGTCCGATCAGCCGGACAGCATGGGGCCCCCAGACCTCCAGGAGGAGCTCATGAGGGTTCTGTCAAGAGCTGTCCAGGAGTTGGAGCTTACCTGGAGTCCTCCAGAGGAGCCTGCCAGGAGTAAGCTTGACTCCTGGTATTTCAGGTCCATCCGGAAAGCTGACTCGAGGACGTCGGTCCCCTTTTTCCCCGACGTACATGAGCAGCTGGTGAAAACATGGCCTGCGCCCCAATCAGCGCGCATCCACTCTGCCACAGAGGCCATTTTTACCCACGTGGATGGGGCGGAGGCCCACGGGTACGTGCGCTCTCCCCCAGTCGAAGAGACCGTCGCTGCGCACCTGTGTCCTGCAGCAGCCAAGACCCTAGGCTCAGACATCAGCCTCCCCTCAAAGCCGTGCAGAACCCCCGCCCACCTTGCCAATAAAGCATATGCGTCTGATGGCAAGGCGGCTTCCGCGCTGCACGCCATGGCAGTGCTGCATGTTTTTCAGGCGAAGCTCCTGCAGGCAGAGGAGGGCGGAGCCCTCACGGCAGAGGCCACTAAGGATCTGCGCGCGGTGACGGATTTCGCGCTGATGGCGACGAAACGAGTGGCCCAGGCTGTGGGTAAGGCCATGGGTTTTATGGTCGTCCTTCAGAGGCACCTTAGGTTGAACCTAGCTGACCAGTGCATGAGCGGACCGGCTCCTAAGCGCCACAATTTCATGTTTTCAAATGTTTGTGTGTTGGATGTTCATTCAATAAAAATGCATACATTCTCACAAAAAGAGCTATTTCCTCCTCACTCAGTCAGTGTGGTGCCGCTTGCCCCGCCTCAGAGCAGTGCAGAGCCGCCGCCCACACACTCGCTGGCACATCCAACGACCAAGCCACTAAAGCCGCTATGTCAGTTCCTGAATGCGTGGGAAGTTATTCCGGGAATCTCGCGCTGGCTACTCGGTGTGATAGAGCATGGGTATACCCTTCAATTCAGACGCAGACCACCCTGTTTCAATGGCGTGGTGCAGTCTCTAACATTGCCCCGAAACGCCCTGGTTCTGAGACAAGAGGTATGCAGTCTGCTCGAAAAAGGAGCGATAGAACGAGTCCCTCCCAGCGAGCTGCAGAGCGGGTTGTACAGCCACTATTTCGTGGTACCCAAAAGAGACGGGGGACTCCGCCCGATTCTAGATCTCAGGCCCATCAACAGAGCACTTTGCAAGCGTCCGTTCAGGATGATAACGCTGAAACAGATCCTGGCGCAAATTCGCCCCGGGGACTGGTTTGCGTCCGTGGATTTAAAGGACGCGTACTTTCACATTCAGATAGCACCGCATCACAGACGCTTTCTGAGGTTTGCTTTCGAGGGCACCAATACTCTGTTCTCCTGTTCGGGCTGGCTTTGGCCCCCCGCACTTTCTTGAAGTGCACGGATGCAGCACTTTCCCCCCTCAGAGCGAGCGGGATGCGCGTTCTCAACTATCTGGACGACTGGCTGATTTTAGCTCAGTCCCGGGACACGCTAGTCAGCCATATAAACACGCTGCTTCGTCACTTGGAGTCCCTAGGGCTATGTGTCAACATGCAGAAGAGCATTCTCGCCCCGAGTCAGTCTATAACATATCTGGGAGTGTGCTTCGACTCGGTGGAGATGAGAGCCAGCCTCTCTCGGGAGCGCTCGGCGGCCATTTTGTCTTCCCTGCCCCATTTCAGACTGGGCAGCTCTGTTCACTTGAAGGAATCTCAGAGGCTGCTGGGGCTCATGGCGTCTGCTGCAGCGGTATGTCATCTGGGCTTACTACACATGCGCCCCCTGCAATTATGGTTGAAATCGCGAGTCCCTTGGATGGCGTTTCCTGTGAGAAACACTGAGTCACATCCCTTAACTCGCTTCAACAGTGCGTAAGAGAGTGAAGGACGGTGGGAGCCTGTATAAGCATTTGAACGGATAGAAAATAACTCCTATATGCATTTATGCATCATAGGATGGCCTGTTATTGACTGCTGAGGTGACTTACTCACCGAAAGAGCCCAACATTTCCAATTCCTGTCACACCTTAATTGAATCACTCCCTAGGGAAAACAAATCGTCTCTCTCTTTCTTTATCTATCTCTCACTCACTTTCTCTAAAGCACAGATAGTGAAACAAAGAGCCATTCCATAAAGTTGCGTCATATCCTGATGAGATCTGGGACTTGCCCAATGATTAACTCAAAGGCACATGCGCATAAAACATAATTACTGATGTGAAAGAGAGTGACGTAACAGTATGTGTGTGGTCGGCCTGTCAAAAGTGCATTACTGGGTGGGGTGATCATGGACTCGCGCAGGCTCATTCTCTCTAGTTCACTCTGATGTTGTTCTGTTTGCGGTCTTTGAAAACTCTCTCATAAATGAGTGTGGCACCATGACAACAAACAGGGCAAAAGTCCAGAAGATCAATCAAGATCAGACGAGAGAGCAACAATGTTGAGAGTTGAAAATCGTACAGCAAGGCAAAATGTCTCCAACACACATTTTGACACACTTCAGCCATTTCAAAAAGGATGAATAAGACACAGACACTTATTCAGCAAAAAAGTAACAATTATCACAAATAAAACTCCAATGTGTGTGGGTATGGATCTCATAAAGATTCATGTCTGTGTCGTATTTCAGGCCAAAATAAAAATAAATGATATAAATAATAAATAAATAAAAAACATTTAAATAAAGGAGTTCTGCATAAAATGTATTTGTTTAAATGCAACAATAATTTATTATTTACATTGTAATCAGCCTATACTAAATTACTGTGCATATGACAATGCATAATTAAACATATCTGCAACAAGTTTTGTTTTATTCACTAACAATTTAATAAAATGAAACAACAAAAATTTGTTGGAAAAAATGGATATTGTTACCGTTTATCACACTACAAAAACAAAATCCTGAAGGAAAATTATTTTGGGGGGGAATTAATTTGCTAATTGCCCTTAGTGGGGATAAATCCTCAGGATTTGTTCAAGAGACACAAGTCACCGTTATTGGAATTAGAAGGAAATCTGCTAGAATTACTGTCACATCAAGGTAGAGAAAGACGGCGGTGCAAAGGATGCACATTAATGATCACCATAGGAAGAATTACATTTATTCCTTTTAAATAACAAATGGAGCACCCCAAATTGCTCCAATGCCTTCAGCATCTGTTAGGAAACATCTAGAATAAATTAAAATCTAATTACAAGTGGCAAACATAAGGGAATTACTCACCTGCCCTCTACACTAACAAGGAGATGGCTCAATAAATCTTTGACCCACATTCTACAACTGCACTTCCTGACAACAGCTCTTGCCCCTTTGCTGAGCTGCTCTCGGTTTTTAATATGAGACACTGGGATACACAGACTCCTCTGAGTCAGCAGGGTTATATGAGGTAAA